TATTGAAAGTACTTAGGGTTTAAAAAGTGTGTACAATTTTTATAAGATATTATTRGATGTAAAATATTATTTTTAGATTTGATATTAGGTAATTGATTTAAGTTTTAATTTGTTTACAATTGGTTCTGTTTCATATCATATAGTATACCTCATTTACTTCAAAGATCATCAATTAATTAATTGGATATTATTTTGTAGATTTAATTGTATTATAATAATCTACTATACCTACTAAACAATTGTATGTTCTTATAAAATTGGTTTTTTTTTTTACCTAAGTAATATCAAATTTATTATAGATGAATTGTGTATCTACTGGGGATATTTGGTTATTGTGTATAAGTGTCATGTATGGGATCGTCTCAGCGAATCATAAGTTCAGAAATRTGTTCGAAAAGAATATAAWAAAAATGATTTATACCTATTAATWCATTTAAATGGTGAGCTAACCTTTGTGAAATCCCATTGTATTCTTTGTATAATATTCAAAAATTTTTCAATTATTCAATTATTCATCAAACTAGTATTGAATTTATACCAATTGGACCTAAAATAGAATCCTACTTGCAAATTTGCTTACTATTAGCACCAATTGGTGTTGAATCTACTTCAGATTCCTAAGTGAGAAAGAAATAATATGCTATGTTCAATATTATATTGGTACAAAAAGTTAATATAAAAATATATTTTTATAATTCCTTATTGAATTTAGGTCATATACCTATTAATTATAAAAAAATATAAAGGTATAAAACACACCCAAAGTCACAAAATACAGTAATTGCAGGYAATTATTCAAGGACGTTCTCAAAAATTTACCAAGGGAGGGGTTATACAAATTGTTGATTATATATTATTAGTGACTTCGTTAGTAGGTACCTACCTACACGCCGCTGTAACAGCAGTGTATATATTTTTTCTAAATTAATTTTATATCATTATTACTTGAAATATTTAAAATTAATTATTATTGCATTTAAATAAACTACTGTATATTTTACACACAGACACACASACACAYATATATAATTGATAAATATATTTCCATTAATAATGATTAATAGTAGTAGTAGTGTATTTTATATATAAAGATAATATTTAAAAAAAACAAAGCAAGATATTATGTTATTTATTGTTTTAATGGTCATTAAGTTCATTATATAATTATATTACTTACATTTTTTTTTTTTACCATAAATACTGATAATATTTATATTAAAGTAACCTGTTTTACTATGAGACATTACTCAATAGTAGTATTAATAATTCAAAAATAACATTTTGTGTATACAATATAAAAATATAATAATACTCAAAAGTTTTAAGTACTCACGAATAATATTTTTAAATAACAGCAAAATAACTAAAATTGTTATTCTCTGTTAAAATACCAAATACCTGCTTACCTAATTTTATCTACATTTTGAATTAAAATTTCTATAAGATAAAACTATGTTCATATAAGATTTTTAAGATTTTTTTCACAGTATGAACTATTCAAAGAAACTTGTGTTACATTTATTATCTATAAAAATTAAAAATTGTATACATTTTTAACTTAAAAATAAGTATTGAAAACATGTATTATTCATCGTTCTGATATTCATATAGTTCATAATAATTATATTATACAAGTTTTATCATAAAAGAATTATAGTATAAAATAATACGAAAATATTTCGGAAATACTATTAAGTAAGATTTTAATAAACGACATAAAACAAGCGGTATATCAGTTATTAATTTAAAATTGTAATAAAATGTTTGTAGTCGGTCCTTGATCGATCATAAACTGGCAATTCTTGATCATCCTCGCTCGTGTCCTTGAAAAAATTTGAAGCTTTTAGAATAATTATTTTTAAATCATATAACAAAATAACTGTACTTTAGTTTAATCAAACAATTTAATCAATATTTTAATTTTAATTCTAAATAAATAACGACGGGTATCTATATAATATGGCTCAAATTATAAGTGTTAATTATTCTTATATTTATCTAATACTGATCTAGATAATATGAAATTCAAAAACTATCTTTCTAACAAGTACCTAATAGAGTTCCATACTAYAAGTTGATTGTTTCACTATAAATGAAATTATAATAAACATAATTCCGTTTCCTTGAATACAGGGCACATAGATAGTATGATATACAATACTCACATAATCATATCAGCGAAAACTAATAGTGTCTTATATTTTATGATATAACGTCTTTAAACAATAAAAAATCATCAAATTAAAGAAAGGACAGTGAAAATAGAGTGCTGCTGCATTAAAGCACAGAGTTCATTCCTTGAAATTAACGGTCATCGGTATAGTTGTTCCTTTTCCTACTCTCCAGGCTTAGAAAAACTACTAATATAATTGAAAAAGTACTTACATYTTAAAGATATATTCAATTTAAAATGTTTAGATTTTTGAAATATACATAAAACAGTTTAAACATATCTTTCAGGAAGTGTAAAAAAAATCAAAACATTTAATAATTACTGTTAAATCTATAGAAAAAAAAATGTATTTGGTTCAAACGCTCAGTCAAGCTTATTGTTATTTATATTCAATGTCTCTTTGATGTTTGTTGATTGGATAGTCGTCAGGACATAACACTTATTTAGCTGTGTAATCTCGTGATTTGGTACATTTAGAGAATGGGCGGAGAGTAACTACAACGAACGCAGCGGGAAGGTGCCTGAAGTGAGCTCTTGTAAGTTTGAWAATATCATTTGAATGGTCAATGGATTCAAGGTAAAAATGAAGGTACTGCCATAGTGAAAATTTGCTTGTCTCATGTCGAACGTTCATTATCTGCCTAAGTTCGAAAATTCGTAATTCAAATTCTGACTTCATTAGATCTATATTTGTAGATATAKGTGTAGATTACGAATTACTCGAGTATATATAGCAGGGGTGGCCACTAACCTTAACTTTGGGAGCCACAAATTTATAAAGTTAATACGAGGTGAGCCACACGTTGTAAAGCAATGTTTATAAAATACAGATACATTTTTCATTTTAAAACAAATGAAGAAACATTCATTTACTTTTAATTTTAGTCTAAGTTTGGTTCAAGAGCCTCACGAAATTGATTTAAGAGCCGCATGCGGCTCGCGAGCCTCGTTGTGGCCACCCCTGATATATAGGTTTGTCCTCTCCAGTGTCGTACTCAATCGGGGGAAGCTAATAATGACATCTTTGTGTGTGTAAAATATAACAATGTACTTAAAAAACACGTACAAAAGTACTCATGAATTATATTTTTAAATTACCACAAAATAATTAAAATTGTTATTCTTAGTTTAAAGTGTTTAAATACCAAATTTCTTTCTAATTTAAACTTGAAATATCTATAAAAAATTGTTTTTATATAGTTATATCTTTTCAGATTTTTGGTWACAGTATCAATCATTTATGATAATATTTCAATATTCAGCTAACCAAGTTGAATATTTAAAAATTTTTTTATTACAATTTTAATTTGTGAATTTTCGATATGTTGATGCATTTTTTCAATTCATCATTAATAAATTAAAAACTAAAACTAAAAAAAAAAATTAAAAATTTCAAGTATTTCTCAACAGCTCATAAAAAATAATGTGAATTTCTAGTAGTTAATAATAATATTATAGTTAATTTATAATTTTAAAAGAACTTATTCAACTACCATATTTTTTCTACGAAATTGCAATGCTTATAAAAATTATTTCCTTAAAATATTKAGATGACTAAAAATATACAGGATGTTTAAAAAAAAATTATTAAGCTGATAAGTTTTGAACTATAATAAAAGTAATTAATATACATCGTTATATGTATGATGTATCGTCAATGTAACCTTGTTTATTTTTTAACTTCAGACAAAATAAACTACCTCAATTTTTAAATTTCCACGTTATAATATGAAAATGGATTTTCTAAGATAATATTATGCTTATATGTAGCTAATTATAATTCACCGTCCCCAGGAAATACGGAGCATTAATTAATATTTACTTATATTCTTGTTTTGGTTTTATTGTAGTTTGAACTAGGTAGTTGCTGTTGTTATTGAGTTGTCATAACTTGTCACTGTYCTCAAAAAATACCACTCAAGGAGTCAAGACAGAAAAATAATTTATATTTATATCATCGTTAATTTTGCTAGGTATATAGTGATRATTTATTATTATTAATCACCTCTTAATTGAGAAAACATTGGAGAGAGGATACGACATTGTAAAAAAAACAGTTCATACCTGAATATTTAAATGTATTATTGATTACGATAATATATAATTACAGGGGATACCCATAAATATTATTTTAATACATTGTTTTGTTACCTCACTATTAAAAAACTGCTAATAGGTTCCATATACAATATTTAATTCTAGAGAAGCTTATACTTTCAAAAGTACTTACTAGATTACCATTTTCTTACCAGAAATGCTACTGAAGATAAAAATCACAAAAACAAAAAATAGRTAATAATAAAAATTAAAGTCACCGAATCACCGAATCAAAAAAATCACCGAATTTGTAATACACCTATTATAATATAATATATGTTATACTCGGTATATATAATTTCAGAAGACATCGACTTTCCGGATAGCTTTCCGTACAAATACCGTCCTTTGTTATAAAATTGGTAATATATATATATATATCCTATAATGTTCCTCATGAGACCTTAAGACTTAAGATTTATCATACCTAACTAATGAATTATATTTAATTGTATTTTTTTTAATCTTTTTATATTTTTTTAGAAACTAAATCAAATTCAATRAATTTTAAAGTTACATCTAATTTATATTACTGATAATAATGTAATAATGTAGTAATGTAGTCATTTGAATTTGTTTGACCCAAGACGCAAATACATGTGACCAAGAGAGATGGATAGATGTGCGTCTTGTGTATACGTACAGTGTTAAAAGTACGAGGCCTTGAAGTGTATACACATATATGACAATACAGTAATTCCTCAACTCAGTTAGTGTGTCAGAGATTTGAGTTTGGACTCACGGACATTCTGTCGCGGTATTTCGTCCAAGTAGTTTCTATCTGCAGAGTGCCTGTATTCATCATCAATCATTGTTTTAAAAGAAGTAAGAACATAATATTATTGTTTTATTAAAACTTCATAATATTTATTTCATAAGAAAATAAAAAACACTTGTTTTTTTTAATAAAACCTAAATTATTTGTGGTAGGTATTTTAAAAACATACTATTTTGAACCTTAATGTGTTATTTTACTTGTAATTATTAAAAACATAATAGAATAAGSCAATAATAAATAATATTTCAAATTATTATTATTRTTGTTGTAAATATTTAGAATAATAAAAAGTAATTTATTTTCTGATGCTTATAAAAATGTTTTCAATAAGGTATGCTAAACAAATCGACCAAATGCTTATCTTATACATTATTATACWTCAAATACATAATCAATAAAATAGCTAATTTATGCAGTTTTTAAAAATACCCGTTTCAATTTTTTTTCCAAAAACAACTGAGTTTTGAAATTAAAATTATTTATGAATTAAATTATTATAATATGATTAATTTATGATGAAAACTATTTTAATACAACAAAAGGTATTCATATTAATCTTTTTGGATTCGTTGGATAAGTCTTAAACCTTTACTAACAACACATCAAT